TAGATTCTTGGTTTATATTGTAATTACCTTTAGCTTCTATCCTGCCGTTCAATGTCAACTTGTCTACAAATAGTAGTACCAGGCCTCCACCGTGTCCACCCCTCCCCCCAGCGTAACCAAATTGACTTCCCCCACCTCCACCACCTCCTCCTCCGTAGCTTAGACGACTTGAGAAATCTACACTCCCGTATTGAAAACCACCTGGCAACGAAAATAAACACGGTATTATGATATTATGAAACATTATGTCATAGCTGTTAGAATCATATCAATTATAAAAGACCTTGTTCACTTACATAATAATCATAATTTATTAAGAAACTCGTTGCAGTGAAAATGAATAATATAGTAACTTGCAATACAATGTAAATGTAATGTAAATGCAATGTAAATAAGTATAAATTATAAAAATTGATATTTACAATAAATCATTATCATCATTTTCGCCGTCAGTCGTAATCGTTATCATTGTCGTTGAGGTGTCAGGCCTACATAACAGATATAGAGTTCAGCTGTCACATACCTCCTCCACCCCCACCACCATAGCCATCGTATGTTGACGACCCTTGAAACAAAAAGAAAAACAATAATTATATGCTATCAATTTTATTGTTCGATAGAAGCGAACGAACGAACGAACGAACGAACGAACGAACGAACGAACGAACGAACGAACGAACGAACGAACGAACGAACGAACGAATAACAAAAAAGAACAAAAAAGAAAAAAAGTTGTACCTCCTTGTCCTCCTCGAACGTTGTTTCCATTGTTGCCACCACTCGACCCGCCATTTCCTCCAGCTCCTCCAGGACAACCAGACTTACCCCCTCCCCCAGCGTATGCATTTAGCTAAAAACACACAAATATTACATTATGTATGTGACGTTTAATATATATATCATATATATATGTATAATTATTTTTTGTCAGCCCTTCATTGGCCTGCAAACTGATGTAACAACCTATTTCTGCATGTATAAGAAAGTTATACAAGATCCTTGTAATACCCATGGTTCATCTTGATCCATTCTCTTATCGATCCTTCTAACAATTCACACATGCATCACTCGTCTCATTCATGAAGGGTTTTACTAAATACTTCATATATACTTACTGCTGTTGAAGCACTTCCTCCGTCACCACCCTTTTGACCCGAGCATCCTGAGCCAGCCCCTCCACCACCACCCCCTGAGAAATGACCACCTCCACCACCGCCCCCTGCACCATCGTCGTTATTTGCCTTCGAGTCACCACCTCCTCCTCCAGAGTTTAA